TGTGTATCTGTTAAAGGCGAGAAAGAATCAGTCCAAAGATTTATATTAAATAAGCTTAAATAAATATTCAAGATGTTTAAGGAAGAATACCCAAATATATCAATTGGATTCTCTAAATTTGCCGAACTTAGACCAAAAAACTGTATTTTAGTTGGAGCTAGTGGCACACACACTGTTTGTGTCTGCGCCATTCATCAGAATGTGAAATTGATGACAAATGTAGAAAAATTTAATAGATGGGGAATTTTTAACAATTCTAGATTATTCTGAGAATTATTCCTTCATTTTACAAGATGAAGTTCAGGGATTTCATTGGAACAACGTGCAGGCCACTATACATCCATTTGTAGCATATTATAAATCTGGAGAAGAATTAAAAAATATAAATTTTGTTATTTTATCCAAATTTAATTCTAAACCAGAAAAAAAAATATATTTTTCAGATGAAGCCGCGTCTCAATACAAGAATCGCAAAATTTTTCTGAACATATGTCTTCATAAATACGATTTTAATATTCCTGCCGAATGGCATTTCTTTGCCACTGCTCACCGCAAAAATGCATGTGACGGTATCGGAGGAACTGTCAAAAGATTAGTTGCCAGAGCTAGTCTTCAAAGGCCAAATAAAAATCAAATCCTAACCCCATTAGAATTATATAATTATGCTAAAGAAAATATTAATGGAATTCAATTTGAATATGTATCCAATCAAGAATATATCGAAGAGGAATTAGCCCTTCGTAAAAGATTTAATGCACTGCTTATACATGGGACCCAAAAAAATCACGGGATTATTCCCATTGATCAAAATAGACTAAAAACCAAAATATATTCTAATTCCAAAAAATATAATATAAAACAAGTTTCGTATTTAAATGAGAAAATTAATTTTTAAAATATTAATGGATATATAACATGTGTATATGATGATAAGTGGTGGTTAGGATATATAATCGATAAAAATGATATAAATAAAGAAGTAAAAATCCAATTTTTACACCCTTGTGGACCTTCAGCCTCATTTAAATTTCCTCTGAAAGATGATATTTTAGTGTTGCCTAAATCTCATATACTCTCGCTGGTCAATCCTTCTACTCCTACCAGTCAAACATATATATTATCTCCCGAAGAAATCTCACAAGCTAGCCAGGCTTTGTATTCCTTTAGATGAAGTAAGATTTAATTAATTTATAAACTATCTAAATTAGGCTAAATTTGTTAAGATTTTAAAAATTTATGATCTGAATTACAAATAAAAATATATAATGGACATTGTAATCGATTTAGTATGATATATATACATTAAAATATTTTTAATCAATAAAAAAAATGAATTTTAACATATTAAAACTATTATATATAGCGCCATCTATTTTATTTAAAGTATAAAAATTGCAATATTTTTTTAAATAAATATCCAGCCATGCTGTTGAAGAAATTATTAAAAAAATAGTAAACGGATAATATTTCTTAAAAAAATTAAAAATCGGAGATCACATACATTTCGAAATATTAATTTCAAGTTTTCAACTGACTATAAGATGACCCATATTTTATCAAAAATTAATTTTGATGTTTTCGCCATAATCATCAATTATTAACTTAGCTATTGATATTATATTCAATATTTGATCATATTTAGTTTAAAATTAAAAACTAGTTATTTAACATCAGTAAAAAGCAAAAAAAGACGTTTTTTAGACCTTTAACCTCGAATATCTCCGCTAATATAGTTGCTAATGTGCTAAAATTTTGTTTATAATCTAATGGGAACATATATAACCAGCCTACGATTTTTCATCGAAATCGAAAGGGGTCGGCCGAAAAGTGATTGATTTGACATGGAATGACCCGAAGGACGCACTAACAAGGTGGTACAGCGGCCGCCATCTTGGTTTTTAAAATATTTTAGTTACATTATTGTATCTGTTATTTTGTAATTAACAGATATGGACGTATTTCAATATTTTCGAGAAGATAATATATTACTATTAATTGTCTTTGTTTGTAAATCAGGTGATTGAAGTTATTTTTAAACGGTAAAATAGCCAGAAAAGACTTGGCACAGCTCAATGACTTAGAGATGAAGGAAGAGTTCGTCACTAAATTAGCAACGTGGAGGAATACATTAAATGGCATGATTAACCCAAATCTGACCTGGAAGGACATTAAGCTGAATTTATTAGTTAGTATTACATCATGTTTAAAACCACGCATTAAACGCAGATGGCCTACCCCTTCAACTATACAAATAATTAAGAATCTAACAATAAATATATCCAATTATCTTGCCCAATTTTATTTAATTGGTTTTTGAATTTTTTTATTATAATCACATAAGATGATGTCAAAATAAAATATTGTTAGCTCAATAAAACATAGTAAGATATAAATAGTCAATATCTTAAAAAATCAAACACTATTATTCTGTTTATATACATAATATTTTATTTAATTTCTAAAGATAATATTGGCTAAATTATATGTCAATAAATTAAAATCCTAGAAAGGCTTCATATTTTGATCTCAATAATTAATTATTGTGTCAAAATTTATAATATATATACACTATTAGATCTTAATTGTAACTTCTTCCAATCATGTTACTCCTGATTTTTTTATTTATTGGATTTTCATAACTGTTTACTCAATCTCATTTCATAATATGATTATTATAATATTTATTTGTTTATCCTAACTTAATATATTTATAATAATCTATATATTTTATTAAAAATGCTAAATAAATTTTGAATAGTTTGCTTATTTATATATATTTTTCAAAAATGGACACTATAATATGGAATATTACTTTATTATATATAAATAAACATATTTACAAAAATAAACAAACTAAGATAAAATTTATTTAATGTTTGATTTAAAGTTGTTTCTGTTGAATTTGTTGGTGATAATACTATAGTATTTTGATCCTTTGATTGCTCCATCAAAGTATGATACAATCTTGATACTTCACAATTGAAAAAGTATTTATTTGAATGGCTCATACTTTCCAAGCCTTCTGCCATTGATTGTAGATAAAATCTAAAATAATATTAAATTTATAGACAAAAAAATATATTTTACTGGCTTTCAGATGGCACCTTTTCCAAAAGAGCCAAAAGTCTTTCACCCATGAGTGCATTTATTTTTAAACCATTAGTCTTTGGTGTAGTTTCTTTAGGACTAAAATTATCAGTAGTTTTTCTGTCCTTTATCATTGGTTTCATGAATTATATATATATATTCAACTCATGATACAGTTGTATCATGCTGTGGAAACTCCATCTCCATGCTAATAAAAATATAATTTATCACTGTTCATATATATTTACCTTAAACTAATGGTTGATATCTAAAATTTATTCAAATAATAATATCAATTAATATATTCTAAAATTATATTAATATATTCTAAAATTATCTAAAATATAATTAATATAAATATCAATTAATATATTCTAAATGATATAATATCAATTAATATATGAGATAAATTATACTTACAATTTTGTATCCATTTTCAAATTTTAGCGCAAAATTAAAAAAGCATTAAAAAATCAAACAAATCAAACCAGTTTGCTTTTTTTTTAACGCTTGCCGTAAAAAAATCCAATTTGCACAATACCATCTAAAATGCATTATTAGCTTTTAAAACGGAGCGTTGCAACGCTCAATTTGTGCGCACTATAATTTATGTAGACATTTACTTAGTTTATATTTATATATACGTAAGTTATATTCTTTACCCCAGTTTGATTTCTCAAGAAAGGGGGGCGTGTTGTATCTGTTGATTTGTAATTGACAGATATGGACGTTTTTCAATATTTTCGAGAAGATAATATATTATCATTAATTGTCTTTGTTTGTAAATCAGGCGATTGAAGTTATTTTAAACAATAATAAAGATTTAGATGATCATATAAAATACTGGTGGCAATAAGTTTCGGAACTATTATCTTGATATACATAATAAGAAAATTATGAATCAACTTATGATTAATCTGTAACATAATTAAAATGAAAAAGATAAAAAAAAATAAGAGTCAACCTAAACCTTACTTTAATTAAAATGTGAAAGATGAAATCCATTCTTTTTTTACCTGCGCCTATCCTGAAGTGCAATTAAGGCTTCCTTATTTGAAAATAATCTATATTCATGAGAATGAATTTTTAAGTATTTCTTGATTTTTAATATATAGAAAGAAAAAGGCTTAATATAACTGTTATAATAAAAATCTTTATTAAAATTAGTAAATCTGAAAAATTTATCTGCCAAAAGTTTTAGATTGATGCATTTTATATTTTTATCCTATAATAAGTATGATTATTAAACCCAATCTATACAAGCAGCTGCAAATCGATATATATAAAAAATCTTGTTGTAGGATCCCTTAAAATATAAATAATATTAATTACCTGTACATTTTAAATTATAGTTACTGTCAAGTATAAGTAAATATTAAACTTGCAATTTTAATTAAAACAAGCATTATAAACAAAATTAACACTTCAAGGTATGTAGGATAAGTAGTGTGATAAATTACTAATGAAATTATAATGATTTTTTATATTTGTACAATTAAATACACGTAAAATTTAAATTTTTGGCCCAATCCAATTTAAAAAAAGTTTTAAAGCTTAGCCCAGTCATGCAAGAAAATATAATATTAGGCCTATGGGCCCACCCATAAGTTGACACTAACAAAGCGGTAAGCAGTGTTCCAAAGTTTTTGAAAAATGCAGCCAGAACTTATCATTATTTTCACATGTGATTTATATGTAACATTCCTCGTTATGGTTAAAATAAATAAATAATTATAAATTTTTTAAAGTAAGATTAGTTTCCCTATTAAAATTACTGCATTTTTTGATAAAAATGTAATTGCCATTTTGTTTGTTTACATTATATAACAATAAATGTTAATTTAAAGAAATTAAACATTTTTAAAGAATAAAAAATAAATTACACGATAACTTTATGATTTTATTATATTACATCCAATTATATAATAAGAGCGAATTTCAACTAATATATTATTCAAAACACAATCACCCAACAATATTTATTAGAATTATATTATTTCAAAGTAGCTTTCAAATATTAACAATTTTATTTAAAATGATATATTTATCGAATATATTTCTCCATAAATCTTCTATGAAAATCGGATCTAACTATATCATTAATAAATTGTTTAGGCTTAGTTGTAATATCCCCCTTAGCACAGTTTTTAAACACGACATCATCATCCCATCTTAAAGATATACAATATGGAAATTTAATTATAATATCAATATTAAGTTATTTTTATCTAAGAAGGAATATTTTTTTATATTAGGCTAATAAAATAAAAATTCAATTTATCATGCCAAATCGCCAATTTTTCTATCAATATAAAAAATAAAACTTGGTATTTTATGGTTACAATTGAAATTTTTTCTTGAGATTTAATTATAATAAAATCTTTAAAGCTCTAGTTAACAATATGAGAAAATACATGCCTTCACATCCTGGTTGACGACCATCTCAATTTAACGAAATATAATATTATATTAATTAAAAAATAATTATGCCAAATCAAAAATTATAAATAATCTCTCAGCCTTGAAATTCAAAGAAAACACTAAAGAATTGAAAATCTTTAATGTCATGTCATATTTTGAACAAAACAAAACTTTTTATCATTTTAGAGTGTGTGGGTTGGTACACTAGACTTGTTTAATTAATAAAAATTTAGGCAATGACATTAATATTAACCTAGATTGAAAGTATCATTATATGAATTAAAAAGTGTACATATAGACGTCCGCCATTGAAAGAAATAAGGTGAAAGGCATTAGCATGAAATGCCTTACAATGGCCTATTACAGCCAATGACATTGATTACAACTAAATTCTTATATACACTCTTAATAGAGTAAGTTTAGGTTAGTATGAAGTGGCCCCTACACTTTCTGAGCGATAGAAGCAAAATACCCCCTAAGAATTCCCCCCCCCTTCGAAAAAATGGTTAATTATTTTTTGACGCCCATAAATTTCAAATATTAATTCAATCCATCTGGATTTTTGGGATGGGGAGGGTTGAGTGCTTGAGAACCCGAATAGAGGTGTTTTAACCATGTCTAGAAGGAAACTATAAATACCAACTTAAAAAGGAGAATACGGGGGTTACTCGCAATGCGCTACCAGGATCAAAAAGCAACCTATGTCTATTAAGATAATCATCAATATAAATAAAATTTAAAAATTTATATTTTAAAAATATTATTTAATTAATATTAACGGAATCACGAGGTCGAGTCCGATATCATAAACCAGAAATCACTTGGTTATGGATTAGTGTAGTAAGACAATAAAAGAATTAAATTTTTAAAAATAAGAATTAAAAAAAAAATTTTTTGTTTTTAAAAAAATTACCCCCACTCAAATTTTTAGAAGGAGTTGCTTTGAAAGCCCCTTCCATCAGTTGTAGGGGCCACTGGTATGAATGTCATTGTATTTAGATTAAAAAATGGAGAAGGCATTTTTTAATAAAAAAAGGATTGCCTGCCAATGTCAACTTTTTAAATAGAAAATAGGCATGGCATGTTATATTATAAATAGTGTTCCCGGATTTGGGGAACTCCAATACAGTATAAATATTTTTCAAGAAATTTGAGACTTAATTAAACTAAGATGACGCTCAAATAGGACAGATCCCTATCTTCGGATTGCAAAACTTCAAAATTTTATTTAAAACTTAACTTCTAACATAAAGAAACATAATACAAAGTTTCATTCATTTCAAACATTGATGACCGAGAAATGACATTTTTGATTAAAATTCTTGCAAAATTAAAATGAACTTTCATTTTAACATTAATATTTATTCAAAACTCAATAAATTTTTATACCTTCTTTTAACTTTGAACCCAGGTGCTGTAACTTGAGTATTCAACAAAGGATTTCCACTCAAAATATTTTCAGTTCTAATCTTTTCTTGCTCTACTTTTGTTTCCATTTCCTTAACAAAAAAGAACATAGTAAAATAATTAAATAATTTAATTATAAATAATTCTATTTCATTATCGATGAATAAATTCTTAATATAAAACACACGGGGGGGGGGGGGGGGGGGGGGGGAGATTAAGTCCTAATAAGGGGAGTCTATAAGGACCCATTATCAAATACAATATTATACAAAAAATTTTATTAAATACTATAATTATAATGTGATTTTTAATCTTAGTGGGAATGTTGCCTCATCGAGAATTTCGTTTGTCGTTGGAACCATATCTCTATGGATATTTAACAGAGCTAACCCATTTAGCCGAGATTCGGAAGTTACTTCGTAAATATGTTTTCAACCTTCTAAAGTTAGAAAAAGTCCTTTCATTCGTACATGTTGTAATAGGCAAACAACAAGCTAGAATATAAAACAACTTCAAGATATTGGCAAATTGAGCCAAGGTTTCTTTACACCGATTGAGCATATCAATAGCATGCTCAGGTAAAATAGCCAAACGTAGTAAATATTTATACCACAATTCGAATTCACTGATTAAATTTATTTCAGTATCAATATCAATGCCTAACCTAATTTTTATAAAATATATGCTACCTACCTTTACCATTTTTTCCTTCAATTTGTATTTGTGCATTTTTTTCATGCTCAGCCTTATTTAACTTTTGTATTTCTATTTCTTCTGTTCTATAAAATGGAAGTAAAAATGAAAAATATAGATATTTATTAATAATTAAAATATTATTAAAAATACTTATTAATTCTAACTCACTAATAATTTTGAATTTCATAAAATAATTATATATAATAATAAAATAAATTGCCGCTTGATTTCAATCTCTTTGACTAAAAATTTATCCATTTTATTAATATTTTTGAATAATGTTAATGCACTCACAAGGAAAGGAAATTTTAATAAAATTTATTTATAAAAAATAAGTTTTAAGTTGGAAAATTGATATTCAAATATTTGTAAAATTTTGATATTGGGGGGGGGGGGGAGGGGGTAAAATTTTTATTAGCTTAAAATGATATTTATGAAAACAGTCAAATTTGCGATGGGGTGGGGATTTCCCCCTCCCCTTCTACTGGTTAAGCGCCTGAATAATAGTATCTGAGTCTGGGAATTGCTCATAAATGGAGAAAGATTTATCTTAATCTGATCGTTTATAAAATCAACCCGATAGGGCTTTTGAGCAACAATATTGGTAAAAGACTGACTAATAATGGAAGATTTTTTAGTTTTATAAATATGTATAGGTTAAATAATTAATTGAAGCTGATGCCGTTTTTACATTCCAATTAATTGAAGCTGATGCCGTTTTTGCCTTTCTTGTAAGATCTATAACTTAAAGAATGGTGAATCAAATCTATAACAAAAGGAGTTTTACCAACTGCAAAATTCTTGTATACAGGGGCCTAGAGAAACATTATATTTGCAGAATACATAGAATAGGATCATAAGACTAAAGATTTTTCCAATTTTTTTGTATAAACTAATTAGCAAATTTAAATCAAGATAGCCATTTAATTTTCTAGACATAAAAAAATTAAAACCTTTATTGGCAACCAATATTACTGAAAAGGGATTAGTAATTGAAATTATTAAAAAAATATTTGTTAAAAGTTTAAAAAATTATAAAGATTGTGTTGCATCAAATTTTGTCAAATTTCTATACCCACATAAAAATGCAATTCCAAATATTTTTCAAATATACTGTATCAGTTTAGATCATCAATATCGAGTTGCGAGTCAACATTTTACCATTAAAGAGATTTATATTCTAGTAGTGATATAAGAAAGGGTAAGTTGTTTTATTAAGGCATGGAAAAAACCGATTAATTTTGGAAATGTTTTCAAGGTATTTAAAAATACGCCCCAACCAAAATTTTATTGTAAATGCTTTATTTTTGTTAGTTTTACACTAGTCAATCATGACATACCAATTGTAATATATTTATAGATATTTTTTATATAATTGAATCCCTAACAAGTACATGCACAATTAAACTATATCAACGTTATTATATAATATTTGTAAAATCATTATATCAACTTATTTCTTTCCAGCTATAAGTCAATTCTTATCTACCATCTAATTTTATAAATATTTGATCATTATATATTTTTTAAGTGTTATTTAATAAATAAAATTTTATATTCAATTTTGTGTTCAAATAACTTAAATATTCGTTCTAAGGTGTTGAAAAATTTTTTTTAAATTGCCCCTACCCCTAATTTTTGTTTACCCCATCTAATGAAAGACACTAGAATCGCCTGATTTAAATAATTTTTGAACTGAAAACGTAAAAACAATACATTAAAGCATTTTTAGATAGGAAATTTAATTCTGAATATAATGATATAAAAATATTTAAAATTACGTTTAAAATGTTAGCTTTTTCCTCTAAATGTTTTCGTGACAAAAAAAAATTCGAACCGGAAACGTAAAAAAATATAACATTTTTAAATAGGAAATTTAATTCTGTGTACAATGATATAAATATAATATTTGAAATTATGTTTAAAATGTTAGCCTTTTTCCTCTGAATGTTTCTGCGACAAAAAAATTTAAAAAAATTTATCATTTAATTTATATTTGTCAATTACTTCGTAATCCAGTACTTACAATATCGTTATACTTACTATCAATTTAGTTTCGAAAAAAGGCTTAAATATTCAAAAATCATATTTTCTAATTTCTCTATACTTACCTATAATCTATGTAAATTACTGTCAATCAGTGGATCCATCTGTCCTCTTAAATTAAAAGAGCCCTGACAGTAGGGTAAATTTTTGTCATTTGGATCAGGTACAATCATCCCTCTATTAAATGGGCCCTGACAGTAGGATAAATTTTACTGCCAAATAGTGGATGTAAATTCACTGCACTGGATATGCCCTATTTTGGGTAGTGGACGCCACTTAATTGTGTTTCCCCAGTGAAGGACAAGACAAGCTACTAGTTCTAACACATTTTACCAATGTATGTCTCTAGGAATTTAGGAGTAAAACAATTAATGAAATGTCCTTAAAATTTGTTATCAAAAGCATTTTTAAAGTAGACTTTGATAATATTCATGTTAGGAAGAGGATTCTGAATATAATACGAATGTCATGATATTTTGACTTCTCCCTTAACACTCAATCCTAATTGCTATTGTATACCTAATAAATTAAGATTCTGGATTTTGACTCATAGCAATTATTTTTACTAATAATCTTCTAAATAGCTAATCGCAATGGGATGGATAACATCACAAAGTTTTGAAATTTTCATTTATATATGATGAAAATAAAGAAAAGCTTAATTATATCATTTGTATTATATGCAAATTTATTTATGTATATAATTCAATAACAACAGGTTAGATATTTATACATAAAATATGATCTTATTAAATTATTTTAGGCACAAATCAACTTAAAAGACAAAATTTGTATATACAAATACAAGTACAACATCAGAGAGTAAAAAGACACAATTAACAATTGATAGTCTTTTTGGTACTGATCCGAAAAAACTCAAAAGTTGTACAAAATTGAAAAAAGAGTGCACAAAGGTGCTTACTATGTTTTGTGGACGTGATTTGAGATCATTTGATACAATTCATGGGGAAGGCTTTGTTGATTGTTGCCAATATTTTGCCAAAATTGGTTCAATATATGGAAATATTGATGTTAAAAGCATCATTCCAAATCCTACGACAATTTCTAGAAATTTAGTAGATACTGCTGATGGTATCCGCAATAAATTATTTCCTATATTAAACTCATATATGAAAAAGGGTCGATGTGCTGGTAACAAATTTATGAAAATATGGTTAAATTATTAATAATTTTTTATAGCCACCACAGACCTTTGGACTAATGATTATAAAAAAAATATCATATGTAACTCTAACAATTCATTTTATAAATGATTCCTGGAAACTAAATAAAATTGTATTGTTTACATGCAAATTTGAAGAGGAAAAAAAGAGAGGGGAAAATATCAAAAAGGAAATTATTAGAAATTTCACCTTGTTAGGTATTGATTTCATTAAAAATATTTATAAAAATCCATGTATTCTTTGTATCAGGATACAGCAGGGCCTATTTATCGGAAATTCCAATTATTACCGACCAAGGAGCTAATATGATTAAAGCTTTTGAAAATCATAAGCGTTTAAATTGTGCTTCTCATCTATTAAATACAGTATTGAGAAATACTTTTGATAACAAAAATATTGAATCTTGTTCGGAGATAAATCAATGTTTTAATGACTGTAAAAGTTTAGTAACGTATATGAAACAGAGTGGGTATGTTAAATTAACTTTTTATTAAAATATATCATTACATTTTAGATTAGTTAATCGCCTCGATAAAACTCTCCACATGTGTGTTGAGACTAAGTGGAATAGTAGGAAGAATATGATTGAATCGATCTTTAATCAATTTAATGACATATTGGAAATCCTCAATTCCAGAGGAGTGTCGATTAGACTTGAAAATATTGATTTTGAAATGTTGAGGGATCTGATCAAGTTTCTGACGCCTTTTAAAATTGCGAGTGATGGACTTGAGAGTGATTTAAAACCTACTATTCACAAAGTTATTTTATGTTATCATAAAATATTGAGTTTTTTAGCTAATCCTAGCTTAAACTATCAGCTAAACCAGCTTTCATTAAGATGCCGGGAAATATTGGTGGATAAATTTAAAATAGATTTATTCCACCAAATTTCGACGTTTTTGTGCCCAAAATTTCGGGATATGAAAATGTTATCCAGGAAACATTATAAAGATTTGTGTCAACATATCAAGACGTTGATTAATGCAGAGAAAATCAACAGAGATGTGATTGAGCAAAAGTCTTTAAACAACTCACCATCTAACTCGTGCTCAACCGATAGAGTAGTAAATAAAGGTTTATTAAATTAATAATAAAATTATTTATTAAAAAATAATAAAGTAAATATATATCTTAATATTATTAATGAATATTTTTTTCTTAAGAAACTACAGAGGTGGTAGATACGTTTTTGGACTTCTCTCTATGGGAGGCTGACAATGCGTATTCTGATGCTAGCGCCGAAGTTGATGAGCTAAAAAAATACCTAGATCCGAAATTATGTATTGATGAAGATAATATTTTAAAATGGTGGAAAACAAACCATTATGAGTTTCCAAATTTAAGTATTTTAGCTCTTAAATTCCTGGCCTTCGTCGGCTAGCAGTGAAAGGGCGTTTTCAGCTGCTGGTAGGGCCTTTGAGGAGAGAAGAACTCGTTTAAAGCCAGATAAACTGGACGCCTCTTTATTTATATATCATAATTATTCACTTTGTGATAATTTTAATAATGATATTGATGAGGTCAATATAATATAATATGTTCATTATATTTTTTATATATTTATTAACTTTTATATCATATCTATATTCGCATAAATGATGCTTATTGTATTATATAATCGTTATAATTTTTAAATTCGCTTGTATATTAATCGTTTTATAATATTTTTTACAAATTTAATAAAATGCAACTTAATATATATCTTGAATAGATTATGACCGTCAAATAAACTTTTACTTAAGGTGGCTGAACTGATTAAATACACATAAATTTTTTTTTGGTTATTATAATATTAAAACTTAAATTGCAAAATTTTATTCGGGCTCGGGTCGGGTTGGACTAAAAAATGTGTGCTCGGGCTCGGGTCGGGCTCGGACAAAAAATTTTTTAAATTCGGGCTCGGGTCGGGCTCGGGTTGTGAAAAATTACTTTGCAGTTCTCTAGTGCCAGGTATAATATATTTACTATGCAGGCCAGGACAGGGTTTTTGATAAAAAGTCTAAAAATTTTTTCATTTATATTTAGCCTATTAAATGCTACTAACTTAAAAATAAATTGCATTTTTTTTCTTCTAATAATAATAAATTTCAGTATTGCAAACAAATTTGATTGCCTAAATACACTTAAACATTGTTTATTTTCATTTAAAACAATAAATTAAATTTTTGGATATAGGCCTGGGCAAAATTTTTGAAACTTATGATGGGCTTGGGTTTGAATATTTTATTAAATATGGACTGGGCCTGCAAATTATTTATACTGCTGATCTGGGCTGGATGCTGATGAATAAATCAAGGCCCGTGAAGTCTCTAACTTAAACTGAATTATTTCATTTTCCATCAGACTTTGGTAAATTTAGGCGTGTTGCTCAATTTATTTCTCTCATGTAGAAACCTGAAGACAAATGATCATTAACAAGGGAATCAATAGCCCATCATTTGATAATCTTCGCCAGATATTATTTTCTGAAAAAATTCTTAAATAATACCTAGCTATCTCAGGAACTTAACGCCCGTGGACTTCGAGAGATGATTAACAGAGAAGTTAAGGGATCTGTTTATTGGCTTTCTCACCTGATACCCATATGAGATATTAACTAAGAAAAGCTCCACTTCCTTCAGACCTGCTCTGAAGATCTAGAATGATCATAATTGAATCTTTTTTATATTTTATACCTTCATCAAAAAATATTATCAATTTTTACCCCTCCCCTCCCCATGACCTAGAGTTAAAGATGTAGAATGATTGATAAAAAAATTTTCAAATAGCTTTTAATTTGTTTCCATGTTGTACTATTCTTACTTTTTAACAAGTCTGATATCCACTAAAGCCTAAATTCGCTGATCAAAAGATAATGTAATGATAATGAATTCAAAATAGTAAAAAAAATTCTTATCAGTAAAGGGTCTTTCAATTTCGATAAAAATTTGTAAGCACGTTATGTATGTTGTAGTTAAATCAATAACAAAATTTTAGCTCATTAGCAATTATATTACCTAATATAATAAAGGCAAAAAATGAGGTATTTTACTCTTAACTGATGTTAAATAATTAGCGTTTAATTGAAAATTTATAGTAAAATATTAAATCTAATATTATTAAACAAGTCAATAATTCATAATTATAGGGAATACATAATTATTTTTTCTTCTTAAATAAGAGAAATCTGTCTAATTTGGGCATCGTTGGGAAAGATTTTGCCCAACTAAGGAAATTGCCCAATTAATCAAGACTTTTTACTAAAAAACATCTTATCGTCTTTTATATTCCTAGTTTAGAAAAAAATAAGATTATTTTCAACAAATAATTTTTTTATTTTTATTAATTAATCAAAACGATGAGTAAAATTATGTGTATACATAAACTTATACAAAATAAGAATGCACTTATATATATATTATATATTTATATATATGGTGTAATACATGACAAATCAACACGAATTTTAACCTGACCCCTCATATTTTTCTAAAACTTTTACTAGTTTGCATGTTATAATCAGGGTTTTGAACTAAACCCAAACACGGAGAAGAAAACCCGGGTTTTTGAGAAAAAAATCTCAACCCGAACCGAACCCGGGAATTTTATTTGAACCCGGGTTCAGTGTATTGTTTAAAATCATATATTATATTTGTATAATTGTAAATATTAATAATTTAATTGAAATTTTATAATATTTTCAAATTTCTAATTAGGTGAAGTGTTAATAAATTTTAACAACTTAATTAATTTATGGCATTTTTAAAATTTTTTAATTTATTCTCAAAGATTCCTATTAAAGTGTTAATAAATTTTAAACAATTAAATACATTTAAGCCATTTATTTTTAATTTTTAACTAATTCTCAAAGATTATTAATCAGAAGAAAATAAAAGTGAACAAGTCAAAGTAAAAATTACTATATTGGATATTGTTAATTTAAAGAAATACGTCTAAATATTTTCTAAATCTATACATGACTATGCTTTGTATTTTTAACTATATTTTGCCTATAAATAAAATAAAAAATTTATTTTTTATACCAAATTTATGTCTAGTTTTTAAATTTAGATTTAAATATATAAATTTTTTTTTTCAATTCAAAAATTCTAAAACCCGAGCTGAACCCGGAACCAAAAATATTTTCCTACACTGAACCCGAACCCACCTATTTTTTAACCTTAAACCGAACCAAACCCGGGCTAAAATTTTGCCGGGTTTTTTAGCCTCCAACTCCAATATGCGGCTGATATATCTATAGGTCAAAAAAATGAGGCATTTTGGGCAAAATGCTCTCACTTTAATTTTGAATATCTTTAAATATAATTGACCTAGAAGCGTCATTTAAATTTCTTTATATAGCCGAATGGTAGGTTTTTAAAGTATAGTTTGTTTAAACAATTTAACCAAAAATAGAAAACAGGAAATGATCATAAAATCAAATCAGCATTTTTCTCTCTCAAATTGTTTATATATTTAGATATCGCTTTAATTAATAAATGCGCAAATTTTTAAATGCATGATATTACTCGTAAATAGTGTTGTTAAACGGCTCGAGCCGATTTTTAAAAATGGCAAATGCAATATTTTATCCACAAAAATATTATGTAGACAAAGATTTTGGTTGGAATCCTATTAACAAAATCTCAAGGTTTAGGCAATATTTCTCTGGCTAAAATAACGAGTTAGCTGTTTTAAAAAATCGGCTTAAATCGAGCCGTTTACACTATTCGTAAGTCAATTCTAATGCATTGTAATGATTTTAAACGATAAAAAAAGCCTTTTATTGTATAGAAATGTTCATATATATAAAGCTCTTTATGTTTTTATATATTATTCGCCAAATTTTTATAATCCAGCCAGGCTAATTGTTAAAGAAATTATTAGAATTATTAGAAAATAGTAAAAGAATAATAGAAATTAAAATTTTGAGAAATTAAGCTCACAATATATTCAATAAATTAATTTTAAATTAAAAAATCTAACTTTAATATTTCCTCCATAATTAACAATTATTGACTTAGTTTTTTAATATTAAATTCAATATTCGAACAAATTTAGCTTTTAATTTAAAACTAATTATCTATAATCATAAAAGGTTTAAAAAACCGATTTTTATACATTTAATCCCCATTATATCATGTAATATAATTGGCATGAGCTAAAATTTCGTTTCAGATATTACTAGAACATAGTGTTGTTAAACAGCTCGTTTTGAGCCGATTTTTTAAAACGGCTAACTCTATATATTAGCCAGAAAAATTATGCCCAAGCCTCGAGATTTCGTTTATATATGTCTAGACCTTTGTTGCTTCTATGAGCAAAATCTTCAGGTTTGCATAATATTTTTCTAGATGGAATAATGAGTTAGCCGTTTTTAAAAATCGGCTCAAAACGAGCCGTTTAACAATACTAGAACATATATAACGAGCGTAGACATTTTATAGAAATTGAAAGGGGCCGGCCGATAATCTCGATTTTCTTGCTAATTTAATATGGAATGACCCTATAGGCCTATTCAAAAATGAATCGAATAGTAATGCTAACGAAAACAAATAGAAAATTATTCGATTTGTTAGAATATGACTAAAGAATTGATAAAAATTCGACGAATTACTTGAATAATTAAAATTAGATGAATTATAATCATTTTAAACAAATTCGAATCGAATACAAATAATAAATTTTATTATTCATACGAATAGATAGTAATTATTTCATTTGTTAATTTTTTTTTTCTGCGTTTAAAAAATTTCCAGGGCTAAACCATAAAACTTTCCCGGGCAGGCCAAAATAATCCCAGGCTAAGCTTAAAAATATTTATTTATATAGGTCGGGCTGAGTCTACATTTTGGTTTTTAATTTATACAAATATAAATATATATTAAAATAAAAATGAACATTTAATAAAAAATAACTTAATGGTTGAAAAATATTGATTATAAACCTTTTTAGCATTATCAAATGCTCGTTCTTTCTTGATTCTTTGTAATTCTGCCATAAGTTCAGCCATTTCCTCCTCCTCATCATCATTACTTCTGTTTTCAATATCGTCCTTTAATTAAAACAAACATAGAATATAAATGACTTGTCTTAGTATTTTATAAAATCCTAGGTCAATAAAAATAGAATCAAGATTTATAACTAATTAAGTTATATAGAAATAATATCTGAATATCATTTTTTTTATTTTGATATATATATTATAATTATAAATTGAGTAAAAGATGTTATATTATTAATGGCTGTAATTGGTAACATCACATGAGGCCCTCGCATATTACCAGCAATAATGCCCTGAAAAATTAAAAAAATTATGATAGGCCAGTGGTAGGGCATGGTTTGAAGATAAATGTAACACTTATTTAAATTCTATGCCAGAAGCTGTACAGAATTCAAATGTAAATTTCAAAGCTTTGTATGTAAACCCTATGTCAGTGGTATGATAAGGTTCAATTATAAATACACTAAAAAGATAGATTATAACAATAATTAAAGGAAATAGATGCAAATACTGCCCTAAGTCAAATAAAAGATTCAAATAAAACAGCTGTATATAGAGGGCAATAGTCAAACAACAAAGTTTCGGGAAGCTAGAATGCAGAAAGTGTGGTAATTTAGACATAACAGTGTGGATTGTTATGTAAATAAGCAGAAATTATTATAGATAAAATATGGTTTTGGACAGAATACGTTTGGCTGTAAAATTTATTATAACTTAGAAAACTTTTATTTCTATTCTTTCATGTTATAAAACTATTTTCAAATTATGATTAATAATATTTATAGACTGTTAAAGAGTGCTCAACGATTAAAAAAACATCATTATAATCTCTATTGCAAAGATACAATTTCCATTTTAATAAGTTCATGTTTATGATTTTATAAGTCTATGTATTTAATGATTTTAAAGTTAAATATTTCATGTATTTATGAAATATTTATATATTTTATTTAAATCGTGTATAAATATAAATTACAAGATGTAAAATTTTTATAATATAAAAATAATTAACTATTGTTTAAAAATTCATATATAAATGAATGTAAAAAATGAAATATATATATTAAACAATTTTTATAATAATAATATATAATACGAAAATAAAGTAATCCGCAAGGTGTAACATTTTTAAAAATTTAAGCTGTATAGTTTTTCTATAACAAAAATAGCGGTTTAAACATCAGAATATGAATAAATATTTTATAATATAAAATGATATAAATTTAAAATTCATGTAGAAGTTTATAAATTTTGTTGGAAAATTACAAAATGAAAGAAAAACTAATAATAATTACCATGTAATTCATGTAAACATAAAAGTTTATAAAAAACATGAAATTATATTTTATATAATGAAAAAAAAACAGGGATCCAAACCGAACCGTTAAACCGCTAAAAACCTGTATTTTTTATCGAACCTAAACCTCTAAAAAATTCCTAGCCGAACCTGAACCGAACCGCTAAATGCCTCTGAACCGGTTCGAGTCTCATAATTTTATGCTTATAAAATAATGTGTAAGTTATTACTAGTAGTATATTGCAAAAATTTTAATTATATTCAAATGTTTTAAAAATTATTATCAATCACATTTGATTAATAAACGTCAGTCATAATTTTTATAAACTTTAGTATATTGCCATTTTGTAATATTTTTAAAATATTTTAAGCTTATAAATTATAATGCCTAGAAAAAAATTTAATCTAATATATAAATTATTTACATATAGTATTATAAATGACACATCAAATCTGATATCATACTGGCAAGTCAGCTACCCAAGTAAGTGTGGAAGGATGTTTTTCAACAATTAAATTTATATTATCTCCTTATAGATGTAATTTGAGTGAGAGAATTTTGAAAATATATTAATTGTGCAGCTTAGTAAAAAAAATTTAAGTAATTGTTCATATTTAAATTAATCATTGATATATTTATTTGTTATATTTGTGCAATTAATAAAAATGAAGGTTTTTATTTTAATTATGAAATAAAAAAAATTTTTTCCTGATACATAATCCTAATGTAGGTTTGAATACAAATGTGTTCAAACCGGTTTCTAGAGGTTCGAACCGAAATTTTTATTTTTTGCGAACCGAACCTGAACCTTGAACCGTTATTTTTATCCGAACCTGAACCTGAACCTAACCGATATTCGTTTCGGTTTGGATCCCTTAAAAAAATATTATTGGTTTTAATTAACTTATTTATCATATTTATTTTTAATTTAATTCTCTCAAAATGTTGAAATAAAATGTTTTTATATCTAGAAACTATGAGTTTCATTAATATTTGCAAATATCCTAATTCCTGATCTAGCACTTGCTGTTTAAAAATTCTCTTTCTGCATGTGGCACCTTTTATTATTAATTGGAAACCTAGATAATTTTTAAAAAATGATAATCATTTTAATTTAAAGAAACATCCTATTCTATATAATAAAGTGATCGGGAATAAAAATAATAGAGAAAAAGAAGCCAGAGATATTTAAATTATTCTGTAAATTAAAAATAGTAAAAAATATGTATGTTAAAAAAAATTAGATCTTTTATTAATACTTTAATCCATTCAAATTGATAATTAAAGAAAATTATATAAAGTTAGCAGCAATGTGTTATTTTTTCAACTTATTATCATTTTATGAGCACGTTTTTTTGAATTTACATATTTGATTTCACTGGAAATGATTTGCATAATGTACGAAATACCTACCCTATGAATTACAGATAATTCTGCCATGAAAATTTTGAACCTACTATAATTTATAATAAATTATAAATGACTAGGTTAATACCAAAATCCAAAATTGTCTGGAATTCATAAGATAGGTATTCTAAGAATGTTGAAATACATTTCCAGTAAAATCAGATTTTTAAATTTAAAAAAAGTGTTCAAAAAATGATATAAAGTTGAATAAAAACATAACTGCTAACATATATACTTACAATTAATTGTTTAGTATTATATTTAGAATTAATAAAGGTATTGGATTAAACGAAACTTATTTCTTCCATTGAAAGTGCCACAAATATAGGCCATTTAAATTTAGTATGTAAATATTTTGTTAATGGAAGAATTTAAAAATCCTGTAAAAATACATTTATTTAATTGATAAATTAAAATATGATAATTTGTAGTTGTTGGATAAAAAGATTCATTTGAAAAATGTGCAATGCACAGTAAATAGTAAAGGTTTAAGAAGATTAAAAAATATAATTATTAGTAAAAACAAAAAAATATATAAATAAATGCTTACACATATGGAAAAGTGAATTTTTTTGTTATCTTATATTATAAAATATATATTTATATTCTTTTATAAATTAAGCCGCTATTTTTGTTATATAAAAAAATATACAAATCAAATTTTTTGCAAATGCTCCATCTTGCGGAAATATTTTTATTACTTTATTTTCTTATTATTTATTAAAAATTGTTTAATATATATTTAATTTTCTACATTCATTAAAATATGAATTTTTTAAAAATAATTAATCATTTTTATATTATATTTTTTCAAAAATGTTATATCTTGCAATTTTTATTTTAAAATATATATATACCATAGAAATATCGGCATATTTTAGATCTTTTTTGCAAATACTATAAATTCCAACTCAATTTTGTAATTTCATAGTTATCATTTATAGAAATAAAAAGGCTTAAATTTGCCAGTGATAAGGATAATCTCCTCCCTTTCAATAGATGAGCTAGTTGCCAGAACACAAAATTATTTTGGCTAAGGTAGAAAGATTCATTGGATCCACTTTTCTCTCCAAAAATTTAGAACATACATATCCTGTGAATGGCGTTTATTGATAAGAATATGACATTCTTTTTCTACTAGGTCACTTAAAATAAAATCATAATTTATGTTTGTTGTAGGGTGTTTATTTGTTAACTTTGTCAAATAATTTGTAATTTATATTTCCTCTTGGCTTACAATCTCTATATATACTCATTTAATATCATTAAACTAATGCAAGTTTATTTAACATATTTACTTTAAATGAAATAATTTCCAAGCTGTAATTATCATTACTACTATATGTGTTTCTATTTCACTATGAAAGGTAATGACAAGTTCAATGTAGGACAATTTTGTGAAGATAGAAATTCAACTGTTTCTTTAAATTTTAAAAAGAAAAATTAATAGTTTTCCTATGAGATCTAATTCATAGTTTGAAAGTTTGAGATAATGTTCCAAAAATATTATTAATTAGATATTTATAAGCTCAGATATGCTTTCGAGTATAAATAATATACTGTGCCATCTGGTGCAGTTTTAATGTTCTCAATTGAGTGGCATTATTGCTTATCATAACTGAAATTCCCAATTTGAAAATGGGTATCATGGAAATGTATTTAGGCATTTACACTTATGGCATTTTACAATTGCAACAATATTGACCACTCATTAGAATAAATATAAAATATGAAATTATTTTTGATTTTCATAAATGGTGGCATTTTCATTGTGATCAAAAATATTTCCAGCTAGTCAATGGTCAGCCAGGACATAGGCTTAGATGTAACTAGTAATCATTTGTAATTTCTAACAATACACTACAGCCAGAGTTGCGGCGAATCCTGTATAAACAAAAAAATGCTAGGGTTCAAAATACTCCTCTACATATTTTGCTAAACATATTAAAAAGTATATTATTTATTTAATTTTATGTTATAATTTAATTATTTTCATTTTTTCAAATTAGAAATGCTATTTAGGCATTTATACCCAATATAAGTTGTATCTAATAGAAGAGAGGAAACCAGCAAACTCCACCACCATAAAAAATGATTCAACCGTGTATATCAGCTTCATTTAATGTCATTTATAAAATAAAACCAGTAATTGCACAAAATAAAATTGATAAGTTGATATGTGCATTTATTATCAAGTGTTTGTTTACATGAACAGCCTGAATATCACAATTATCAAAAGTTATATCATTTATATATTTTTTTTTCACTTTAGCTTTCACCTTTTTTGGCGGTAATCTCCTTCAATATATCTCTCCACTTTATGTTATTCATACAATCTCTTTTATCTAATTTATACTTCTTTATATTGGCTCTAACTTTATGGTCCCATTGAAGTTTTGGTCTTCCTCTTTTACGTTTGCCCATCATTTCAAACTCTCAGCCTTATTTCCTATGTAGTTCATAGACTTTCTCATTGTGTGCCCATACCATCTAAGTCTGTTTACCATTAACTTAGTCTTAATGGGCACTACCTTTAAACTACTTAGTATTCTTGTACTGTGCACTTTATCCTTTCTTGTTACCTCAGCAATCATCCCCAGCATTCTCATCTCCATAGTTTGTAGACTTCTCTCGGCTGATTCCTTGGTTGGCCATGCTTCCAAACTATATAGAATAGTTGGTTGTACTATGGTACTGTAAATTTTCCCCTTTAATTTTTATGGGATTCTTTTGTCAAATAGCACTCCAGATAAAGATCTCCACTTTAACCACCCTTAATTAATTTTACTCTTTATCTTTATTTCTATTGTGCCGTTTTGTATAGTGGAGCCCAAATATTTGCAGCTTTCAATTGCCAATATCTGCCATTCATTTATATCAATACTCTGTTTCATCTTTTCCTATCACCATATATTCCGTCTTTTCTCTATTTACTTTTAATCCGTGTGCTTTTCTGGGATATTTATCAAACTCACTAATCTTTCTTTCATTTCATCCTTGGATTTGGCAAGTATCACAATATCATCTGCAAATATCATATTCCACAGGACTGTTTAAAGTATAGACTGTGCTAATACATCTATTACTGTAATGAAGAGAAGTGGGCTGAGAGCCAACCATTGATGAACTCCTTCGGCTATTGTGAAGCCTGCTGAAGTACCTGTTGTACTAAGGACCATTGTTGTATGGCTTATATACATATCCTGTATTATTCTTATATATTTTTCGGGAACCTTTTTGTGGCGTAGCACCCACCAGATAAGTTTTCTTGCTTTTTGTTCTTTTCCCTGTATTTTTCACTCATTTGCCTAATTGTGTGGATAGCATCAGTTGTTGATCTTCCAGGCATAAAGCCAAACTGAGTCTCTCCTATTTCGATTATGTCTCTTAATCTTTTTTCAATTATTTTTTGGTATAGTTTTAGACAGTGTGAGTTTTATGCCCCTGTAATTTTGACAATTGTGTGGGTCCCCTTTATTTATGAAGATAGGAACTAGATAGCTCTGCCTCCATTTTTGAGGAACCTCTTCATTTCCAAGTATTTTATTGTATAGATTTGTGAGGAAATGTATTCAATCATCTCCTAGTGCTTTAAGGCTTTCTATTGGAATATCATCTGGACCCCTAGCTTTGTTGTTTTTCATATGCTTGAGGCATATGATTATCTCTTGTTCTGTTATTGGTGGTATAAGGTTTGACATGGGGAGTGTTCATCTAAATGTAATGTGGGGATTACAGTTGAGAAGCTCCTGAAAATATTCTTTCCATCTATTTATTATTTCTTTTTCCTATTTTATCAATTTCCCATCTTTATTTTAGATTACTTTCAAAGCTCCGTTTATATCCCTAGAATTCTTTTCTCACTGTTTAGCTAATCTGTATATTTTATTTTGCCCTTCTTTGGTATGTAGTTCTTCATACATGTCATCGTATGCCATAGATTTGGCCCTAGCCACCGCCTTTGTAGCTATTCTCTTGGATTTTTTGTATCTTGTCTTGTCATCTGGGTTTTTGGATTTGTACCATATTTTATAAAGAGCTTTTTTCTCCTGTATAGTGGTTTGTACCTCTTCATTTCACCACCATAGTTCTTTGTATGATTTATTTCCTCCCCTTGTCAAACCTAGTGTCGATTTGGCAGTGTCTATTAATCTGGATGAAAGGTCTGTCCACATTTTTTTATCATTTATATATATATATATATTGATATAATATTCTAGATATTATTGTTAATGTTGAATCATTTAAGATTTCTAAAAGGAGGTCTTTGCAGAGAAGAATAGAGGAAATTTTTGAGAATAAGTGGATATTTTAAAAGTATTTTAATGGCTCAATCATATATCTGCATGGCAGATTTATGGCCCGTTCACTGTGTAATAAATTATTTTTAAAGATTACACGAGAAACTCCTGAAAGGCAATCAAGAAATTAGCACATATTCATTTGATAAAATTGCAGTTATAAAGACATCTATAGAGAGAAAGAGATTTCTGACTATTTGCTACTGTTAAGGATAATACATCCAATTGTCAAGTCATTTATTGATAAATAGCTAATAACCCATCAAGAATGACGGGGTTGAGGGGTAATTAGTTAGTTTGTGTATATGGTACTAAATATGCTTTATATTTAAATTTAAAAGAAAAAGAGGTAAAATTGTTGCAATGTAACCTGTGAACATTACGGGTATTAGAAATATCAAAATTTAAATTTGTGATAGGAATCATAATGGGTAAAATTAAAAATAGAGATTCTTCAAAATTTTTGAATTTTAAATATGGGCTAGACATTGGCCTCAAAATTTTGTTGACACAGCTAAGCCTGATCAAAAAACCACGTCCCATGCAACTTTTCCAAAATTTTGCCATTTATTTCTATTGTAATTTAATAATAATGTCTTAAATTTAATTTTATATATAGAATAAAATTTAAATTTGTGATAGAAATCATATTGTATACATTGCAACAATTTTACGTCTTTCTCTCCTAAATTTTAATATTTATAAAAAATTTATTAATAAAGTATATTTAGTACCATACACACAAACTAATTAATTACCCTTCAATCCTGTCAGTTAGTATGGTAATAAATGGCAGAATTTTAATAATATCAGCTATTAATTAATATATATATAATTAATATTTTAAATTTAATTATATTCAAGTTGGTGCATGCTTAAAACATACGACTTTGAAATGGGAGGCTTGTGTTCGACTCTCGTAGAGAGCAAAGAAATAACATTACACTATATAGTCTCCTTAAATTTTAAATACATTAGGAAGATACGAAAACACTCATGTTTTGATTATGGAGATTATATATATTAGATGATGTATAAATGATCTTAACAATGATTTTGAGGATGAGGACCAATTAGAATTTAAAATGAAATCAATATTGATGTTAGTACAAATTTTTTAAAATTTTTTTTAGAAATGTGTATAAAATTATGTGTGGAAGGCCCAAAACTTCTGAAATCAGTTGAAAGATCTATGCATAACCAGGTAGAATAGCCCATATATTAAAATATAAAACATATTTAAATTTATCATTTGAAACAATTGATTGTCCCATTTTTTAAAAAGTGGATATTCTATGGTTTTAAGCACTGTAACAATAGCATTAAAAAACCAAGGACAATGTAGTATATTTTATAGAGAATTCGTGTACATACTGTTTTAAAGGAATTAAGTAAATTTAAAAATTTAAGTTTGCAATATTGTCTAGCTTTATTAAATGTTGTCCAAGATAGTATAAATAAAAGTTTTAAGAAATTTTTTTGATATGATGATGAATATAATGAGGTTTTTTTTGGCATCATTATCACATCCATATTTTAAGAACTTATAGATTGAGTAAGATGATAAAAAATATATAACCAAAAGATTCCCTAAATATAGTAACAGTAATATATATTCAAGCTCATTGGTGAAACTAATGTTGCTGAGTTTAATAATAATAACATCGAGCTAGGTTTTAAATTATGTTAAATCAAAATACATTAGAGAGCCTTAATTATTATCCTTCCACTAAGGAAATTTTTTGAAAATAAATATGAAAATAAATACTGCAATCCCTTCATCAGGTCCAGTTCTAAGGTTATTTAGTTTTGGCACAACAAAATGGCAAAGGCTTAGTGATAAATTATTTGAAAAATTGATTATCTTAAAAAATAATGATTTCATTTAATCTATTTTAAATACTCTTTTGCAAATCAATATTTAAACTCTCAAATTACTAATCTCCCTTCCCTGACTATGCTATGAATAGGGTAAAACATTAAAATTCCTGATTTTTATAATTAACTCATCATTAAATATTATATAAACTATTCTAATTTAATTGGTAATGATAATTTTGTAAAAGTATCTTGTATTTATGATACTTTTATCTTTTTGATATTTAATAAGATACTAGCACCTTTATATAAGATCCAATTTTTTTATAAAGAATCTGTATCTGTATCTAGATTCTTTAAATTTTGTATTTAAGCATATATATATATAAACAAGAAAAAAATAATAAATACATCATCCTCTTCAATAGGGTCATCTGCATCTAAATTAGCTAAATTAAGAGTATTGTCCAATTTTGATCTTTTGGCTGAGTTTACTATGATATAATTATTTAAATGAACAATATATAAATAAATATTTCACTTTCAATATCTGTGGCAGTTGCTTTGGATTTGTTTTTTATATTTCGTTCTTTTTCTTCTAATTCTCTTTTAAAATCTTTTAATGAAACATCTTCATGTGTTGATTGACCAGGTTGCCTAAAATTTTATGTTAGAAGAAAAGCCTTAAAATGTTAAACCTATATTTAATTTTAGTCTGGCCAGGTAAGTCTCTGCTAGAATATTGTTTAGAAAGTTTACTTAAATCGTTTTCCCCACCCTTAGCTGGTTCAAATGTCGGTCTTGCTGCTGTTGTCATAAGATCTTATTGTATTATTATATTATCGATATTGTATAGCAGTAAATTGAAATCCAGCAGTTGTCAGAAACTTAATATATGTGACAGGAGAGAGATATGAAATTATAACATATTAGAATATCAATTCTAATATTTGCATCTTTATATTAAATACATTTCAAAAATGCAGAAGATTTTCTAAAATATTTTTATAAACGGAGAAGATTTTATAAAAAAACTTTTTAAAAAATATTTTAAAGATAATTTATATTGAGAATTAAAATTAGCAAATTACTAATTAGCCCAAGGGTTTTGTTTATATTGAAGTCTAGTAAAAGTCATGGTTGAATCCGGTAAGGTATGGAGCCGATTTTTAAAGACTAGGCAATTATAAAAATATCGAACATGGTCCAAACCGAACTTTTTTTTGGTAGATATATAAAATATATGGAAAATAAATTTCCATCATTATAAAATTAATTTTTTATATTTATTTGCAAATATAGATGTTGTGCTAGGTTCGGTTCGGTTTAAGGTTAAAAAAAATAGGTGGATTCGGTTAGGGTTCAGTTCAGGGAAATATTTTTGAACCTGGGTTTGCTTCCAGGTTCAGCACGGGTTTAAGGATTTTTGAATTGATAAAAAAAAATATTGTACATTTAAATCATAATTAAAAGACAGACATAAATTTGGTAACAAAAATTTTTTTTATTATATTTATAGACAAAATATAGTTAAAAATAAAAAGCATAGTCATGTATTAATTTCAAAAATTTTATTTAGACGTATTAGCATACTTCCAAGAGTTATTCACTCATCCTTGATCTATGTAGTGTAAGAATGAACTTCAAATGTGAAAAGGATCTTTCAACGCTAACCTATATTAAATATATTTATTTAAAAATATCATAAATTAACTAGGGTTGTAGGAACAGCGAATAAGATTTTGGATTAAATATATAAATCAGGGTGTTCTAGCTTAGCAGACTATCAAAAATGTAAAATATTTTCCTTCTTATCTAATCTTTTAAAATCTCTAAATCCGTTAATTATAGTTCCAATACTTTTCTCTGCAATCATTGACCCTCTTTTAAGTATTTTCTACTGCCTTTCTTTAAGTTCTATCAATTACTCTTGATCATCTTCTTGTTCAATAACTTCATCTGAGCTAATATCATTAGATAAAATAGGTGTTGTTATGCTTACGACTTCATAAATTAACAAGATATCTTTTCGCACAAATCTTAGCATCATCATTAAGTTATACCTGTAATATTTAAGGATTTTATACTGTTTATATTTAAATAAATGGCAATACCATATATAAACAATTTTAATATACATCCAAAATAATTAATTTACTAAGCTTATTAACCTTGTATCTTGGGTCCAGGTATATGGTAGCTAAGATAATTTTGTTCTTTATAAACCTTTCTTCTCTGTTTTTAAGACAAGAATATATTAATTAAGAAAAATGGTTTGAATTTTTTCTAGTTCAATGCAGCATCTTAACCATTTCATGAAAGTCTGTCAGTGTTAACTGTTGGATTATTCAAATTATTATTTTTAATATTTAAGCAAAAAGGAAAATAAATTTTGTTGGATTATGTAAATAAATATTTAAGCAAGAAAAAGAAAATTGATTTGATATGAAATGAAATAAGTTCAATTATAGATGATTATTCAAAGTTATGAATTGTATTATAATTAAATGAACAAGTATATAAAATATAGTTTGTAATATTATTCAAATTATAAAGAGTATATAATGCTTGAAAAAAATCAGAAATTATCATTATAATTTTATGAAATACGAAATTGTTATTTTAAATTAAATTTATTAATATTAATTAAATTCATTATATATTATCTTGAAATAAATCAATTATTCTAATCCTTGTATTCCTTCTCTAACACTCACGACTCTTAAAAGTGGTGCCGGAGAGAGGAAAATATAAAATAAAATTGAACCAGGGATGGAAAAGTTCACAAAGGAAAATTTAAGGTAAAAAATATTATAAATCAATGAAATATTTATGTTATACGGTATTATTAATAATTAGCGTTTTTCTATATTCGTTTAATGTCAGTAGATTAATTAAACTTTTTTTAATTAAATTTTTATTAAGTACTCTGTAATGTATATTGCACAGATAAATATGTGGAATTTTTTAATAGATAACATTTTGTTAATAGATTTTGTTTTGATGTTTTTAGTTTTTACATTAGGTATAACAATAGGAAGATTTACGGCTTATATTAAAATCGATAGTACAGAAGTAGAAAAATTTTGGAATTTAATAAGAGAAGAAGATAAGGTACGACATATAGATAATTATTGACAGATAAGGTGCTATAGTTGTGGGCAGCCGGGTCACATGTCGCGACAGTGTGAATTAACCAAAGATATAAAATGCGCGAGATGTGTGTAGAATGAATAATTTGATCATGAGATGTAATAATTGTGGTCAGGAAGGGCACACACAGGAAAGGTGTAAGATTTTACTAGAAAATAATTTTGATTTTTATGATAATTTTGTTAATAATAAATTTTTTAATTTTGTTAATATAAATCATGTAATAATAATAGAAGTAGAGATAAAATGAGAGATATAAAGATAGAAAATAGAAATTTTGAAATATATAGAACAAATAATGTGATTGATGAAGAGGTACGAAAAATTAGAAGGTTTTTTAAAGAAGAATAGATGCCCGAGAATTAATATAAAGATTAAGGAAGTAGAAATATCTTTTTTATTGGATACAGGAGCGGAGATTAGTCTGATGAGTATAAAGGATTTCAATAAATTTTGGCCAGAAAAAGAATTTGTTATAAGAAAGATAAGAGCCAAACAATTAGATGGTAGCATTGTGAATATTTAAGGTTATTATAGGATAAGGTTGCCTGGAATTAATAAAGATAAAACGTTATGGATAACTACTTTAAGTAGAACAGGATGAGACTGTTGAAGAGAAATGCAATAAGGAAATATACATTATATTAGATAAGTACAAGGAAGTTTTTAAAGAAGAATTAGGTACTCTAAAAAATGTTGAAATAAAGATATTAGAAAATTACCACGCTAAATTTTGTGGATTAAGAATATTATCGTTTTCTTGGATAGAAGAAATTGATAAGGAATTAAATAAATGGTTAAAAGAAGGTATAATCCGGCCAATGGTGCATAGTGAATGGGCCACACCATTAGTCCCAGTAAGAAAACCAGATAATAGCTTAAAGTTATTCATAGATTATAGAATTTCGTTAAATCCTTAGATTATCACAGTAAGGTATCCTTTACCGAGAATAGATATATTTAAAAGGAGCAACATATTTTTCGAAGATAGATTTCTCTAACGCATATTTACAGATTAAGGAGAAAACAAGTCGAATGTTAACAATTACAACACATAAAGGTTTATTTGCTTTTTTTCGTTTACCATTTGGATTGAAAGTATCGGCTCCAATATTTCAAAGAACTATTGCTGCGTTATTTCAGGGATTAAAAAGAATAATGTATTATTTAGATGATGTTTTAATATCTGGTAGAACAGAAGAAGAGCACAATACTAGATTAGGTGTTAGATATAATATTAGAAAAGGGTTTAAAAGCTAATATGAATAAGAGTGTTTTTGGAGTAAGGGAAATAAAGTATTTAGGACATATTATAAAGGGAGAAATTACTCCAATTGCAAAGAATATAGATAAGATAATGAACATGAGAGCACCAAATAATAAAACTGAATTACAGGCGTTTTTAGGAGCAACGAATTATTATCATCGTTTTGTTCAAAATTTTGCAGCAATTGCCGCATCGTTGAATTATTAAGGAAAAATAAAAGGTTTGAATAGGGAGAAGCACAGGAGGAAAGTTTCGAAAAATTGAAAATAAAGATGGTAGAAAAACCGATTTTAAATTGGTTTAATGAAAATTTAGATATTATATTAGCAGTAGATGCTTCTAATGAAGGTATAGGAGGAGCTTTATTACAGATGACAGATAATTTTGAGAAACCGATTTTATTTTTATCAAGAGGGTTTAATAGCACTGGGAAAAATTACTCCACTATCGAGAAGGAGGCTCTCGCTGTGAAATTCGGGCTAATGAAGTGCAAAGAATATCTGATTGGAAGAAGGTTTGTCTTATATACCGATCATAAGCCTTTAGTAGATTTATTCAAAAAAGAAAATAAGGAGCTTATGATTTCACCTAGGTTACAAAAATGGTTAATTTTAGTTGGTAATTTCAATTTTGAAATAAGATTCAGAGCGGGTAAACAAAATTGCTTACCATATATATTAACGAGATTGTTTAATAAAGATATCGAAGACAAAGATCCAGTAATCAATAGTTTAGATTATATAGAAGACGAAGAAGAATTAAATAGTAATGTTATAAGAGTTTTGAAGAAAAATACAAGAGAAAAACCCATAACTTTTGAAATATTAGGAGAGATATCCAAAAAAGATGAAGAATTAATAAGAATTAGAACTTGTTTGAAAGGAGATGCAGAATGGAAAAGTGAAGACAAAGCGTTTAAGAATATAAGGAGTGCAGTAACGTAGCTAGGAATTTTCCTTAGAGGGGGTCAATACATATAAAAGCCTGGGGGGATTCGCTTCCTAAACCCCCTTATACGAGCCTTCGCCCTTTTTGCCCGGGCCGGGTTTATCTTACAAATCATAAACATATCTTCGATAATATATAATAAATATATTTTTTAAATGCATCAATAATATGTTATAATTTAGTAGATTATTCTCAATGACTTTATAATAATACTATCCAGAATAATTTCAATAGTAATATTAATATAATATCCTTCTACAAACATCAAAACCAAAAAAATATAAATATTAATTGTATTTATTTGATATAAAGTCACTTTTAAGTCTTTTAACGTAAAATCTAAAAAAAAAATTTGCTCTGGGAGGGGTCCAAACCCGAAAACCACCCCCGTAGCTACGCCACTGAAGGAGTGAATTAAATATAGATGACAATTGTTTATTGAGAAGATATCGATTAGTGATACCCAATAAGTTAAGAAAAGATACATTAGCTGTAATACATACAGGACATCAAGGCATAGAAAGAA